CCCCCCCCCCCCCGGGGCCTGGTGGTGGCGGGTGGCTTCAGACACACTTGTCACTCTGAGGTTTGCATTTGTGTGCTGCATCACACTACCAGCCGGTGGATATTTAAGGAATCTTTTTGATAGAAATTTAAAAGCTATTCTGAAGGGTTTTGGTGGTGTTTTTTGACATTGGAAGAAGGAAATCCATTTAAAATTTGGAAAGGGGAAATGTTCCTCTTCAAGAGAAAAACCTCATTCTGTAACCCCCTGGCTTCTGAGTCGAGCTCTCAGAAATGAGATTTCTAAAAAAACTGCCCTGTGAGGCTCATGGAAATATCATTTAAATCAGTCCACCCCAGGTTGCTCTCCTTCCGGGAGGTCGTGTGGAAATACAGTTTTGCCTGTGTTTTTGTTGAAGATGAGAGAGTGCACTACCTCGTTGATTTGGCATCTTTTGAGCACTGAGTCACTTCACAGGGAAATTTCCAGACAAATGAGTATCACCCCTTTGGGGGCCAAAGCCTGTCCTCACCTGTAGCTTTTGTTCTCCGCTTTCCCCGGCTGGGCTGCAGGTGGGGAGGTGGACTGCCTGTGGGTGAGCTTGCTCTCTGATGGGGCCTGAGGTCGGGCCTCCTCTTGCCCCGGAGTGCCTGGAGGAAGAGTCCCTGGTCTCTGCCAAGGGCACCCGGGGCCCGTCCCTGTGCGGCCTGCGTGCTCTCTTCTGGCCTCACCTCTCACCGCTCTCCTCTCTCCACTTGCCACGCTGGGGACCGAGCCATTCGTTTGGCTTGGAGTGCACTCTGCCTGCCGCTCGCCCACCTTGACCACCCGCTTGCCCGGTCCACACCTGGTCTGTACCCTTTGGGCTTCCATGGTAGCGTATCAGCTGTGTTTCCCTGCTCCCCGTGGGCGGTGTCCTGAGCTCTTGGCAGACGGGTTGTGTCGGATCGATCCGCATCCCCCAGCACTGTTGCTGCTGCCTGGCTGGTAGCTCGTGCTGAGGACTCACTTGCTGCACAGTTTGGGGGTGCTCCTAGCTTCTTGTTCTTCCCTCCCTTCCCTTTGCCCCTGGTGACCGGAGAGAGACCTGCTCAGGGCCCTGCATGGGGTGGCGTGGAGCTGGGGGGGAGGGGGGAGTAGGGATGGGAAGGTGGGGATGGGGGTGCACGGATCTCTGGGCAGTGCAGGGGAGAGTTACGGACAGTTGGGAAAGGCCACCACGGGCCATTTGCAGCCTTCCAGGTGTGAAACCTGCGGAGCCTGGCAGAGACTGTTGCAGGGCTAGCTGCTGGAGCCTGCCCTTCAGCTTTCCAGCTGTGGTGGGGGCTCTAACAGATGGACAGGCGGAAGGACAGAGGGCCTGGCTCACGCTCACTCCTGTGCTGCTCAGGCCACCGGCATCTGGGACCTGTCGGCCAACGGCTTTGATTTTTTTTTTTTTTTTTAATGAGGATAGGGCTTACTTTTTTTTTTTTTTTAATGTTCTTTGGAATAGGCAACTCATTGACATAGGTCTAAAATAAGAAGATATTAAAGTATCCTTTGAGAGATCTTGCCCTTCACCTCTGACCTCATCTGCCTTGTTCCCCACCTCCCTTCTCCTTAATAGATAACCCCTTTTAGTAGTTTGGATATCCTTTTAGTGTTTTTTTATGCAAATAAAACAAACACAAACTTACAAACTTTTTTTTTTTTTTAAGGATTTTATTTATTTATTTGAGACAGAGAGAATGAGATACAGAGAGCATGAGAGGGAGGAGGGTCAGAGGGAGAAGCAGATGCGGGACTCGATCCAGGGACTCCAGGATCATGACCTGAACCGAAGGCAGTTGCTTAACCAACTGAGCCACCCAGGCGCCCACAAACTTATATCCTTATTTCTCCCTTTCTGTTCGAGAAAAGGGCACTCTACACATACCCTTCTGCACCTTGCTCTTTGACCCACCACTGTAGCTTAGAGACTTTTCTATGTCAGTACTTGGAGAGAGTCGTCATTATCTTTCAGCTAGGTAGTATTCCTTTTTTTTGGAGGAACAAAAGCTGTTTTTCTTGCTTTATTTTGTTTTCAGTCCCATCCCCTATGCAAAGGCATTCAGGTTGTTTCTGGCATCATGCACCTGCATCCAGTAACCTTACCTGTGTATCCTTTCCGGCACGTGCAGGTGGACCCGAGGGTCGCGTCCCCTGGGGACATTGCTGAGGCAGAGGGTAAACACGTTTGTGGTTTTGATTGATTTTGCCAACTTGCCCTCTGCAGGTTCCATTTTGTACTTTGATCAGCAAGTGTGAGTGCCCATTTCCCCACAACCTCGCCAAAAGGAGGTATAGTCAGATGTTTGGATTTTTGCCAATCTGACAGGTGTCAAAAGTATCTCCATGTAGTTTTTTTTTTTTTTTTACTGGCTGCTTGGAGTTTATTTTCCACTTGGTGCAAGGCACACGGTTACAGGGTGTCAGGAAGGCTTGTGTGTGGCTTGGATAGTAAAGAGTGGGGTTCTCTCAACTTCCTTTTTGGTGTTTTGCTATTTTGATATAAAAGAGCCCAACTGCTTCTGCTCAGTGTAGTTTTGATTTGCTTTTTTCTGAAGTGTGAGCCGATTATGTCATGTGTTTAAGGACCATTTATAGTTTCGTGTGGACAGTTCTTTTCCCGTTTTTTGGGGGGGTTATTGGTTGTTTATTTCTCAATTTTTGTGAGCTCTGTATGTTTTTGGAAGATAGTTCGTTGTGTTGTGAGTTGTAAAAATTTCTCAGGCTAGGAATTATTTCGATCTCGCCAGATTCTTCAAGTACTTCCCTCCCAACCCCATCTGCTGTGTTTAAAGGTTCAGACTGTGGCCTTGGGACAGAGTCTGGTCTCTATTGGGTCAGAACCACAACCCTGGCTTCCTTCCAGGATTTTGTTAATTGACCACAGACATGTTTTCAACATGAACATACAATAGTGTGGAAGCATTTTGAGTCTGTATGGGGATGGGCCACTCGATGCTGTGAACCAGCCCCTCACGTGTCTGTGGCCTGACACAGCAAAGGCTTATTTCTCCTCACGCTGTGTGTCCAGTGTGTGTGGTTATTGTAGTCATTCACGGGCCCAGGCTGATGGAAGCACGCTGTTTGTTTTGCTGTTGTTGTTGTTGTTGCTAACGGCTTTATTGATACATACCATGCAGTAAAGTTCACTTGTTTGAAATATACAGTTCAGTAGTTTTGCGTATATTCAGAGTTGTGCAACCATCAGCACAATCGTATTTTATAACATTTCATCACTCGTCAAAACATCTCATACCCATTAAGCAGGCATCCCCTCCCCCCCCTTCCGTCAGCCTCTGGCAACTGTCAGCCTCCT